TGTCCTTGTTGAACCTCATCAGATTTCTTGTGGCCCAATCCTCCAATTTGTCTAAGTCACTCTGGACTCTATCCCTGCCCTTCAGCGTATCTACCTCTCCCCCTAGCTTAGTGTCATCTGCAAACTTGCTGAGGGTGCAATCCATCCCCTCATGCAGGTCATTAATAAAGATGTTGAACAAAACCGGTCCCAGAAACGAACCTTGGGGCACTCCGCTAGAAACCGACCTCGATCCTGACATTGAGCTGTTGATCACTACCCCCTGGGCCAGACCTTCCAGCCAGCTTTCTATCCATCTTACCGCCCATTTATCCAATCCACATTCCCTTAACTTGCTGGCAAGAATATTGTGGGAGACTGTATCAAAAGCCTTGCTAAAGTCAAGGTATATCACATCCACTGACTTTCCCATATCCACGGAGCCAGTTACCTCATCATAGAAGCTAATCAGATTGGTCAGGCATGACTTGCCCTTTGTGAATCCATGCTGACTATTCCTGATCACTTTCCCCTCTTCTAAGTGCTTCAAAATGGATTCCTTGAGGATGCCTTCCATGATTTTTCCAGGGACTGAGGTAAGACTGACCTGCCTATAGTTCCCTGGATCATCCTTCTTCCCTTTCTTAAAGATGGGCACTACATTTGCCTTTTTCCAATTATCCGGGATCGCTCCCCATCTCCATGACTTTTCAAAGATAATGGCCAAAGGCTCCTCAGTGACATTTGCCAACTCCCTCAGTACCCTCGGATGTATTAAGGCCGGACCTATGGATTTATGTACATTTAGCTTTTTTATATAGTTCCTAACCTGTTCTTTTCCCACCAAGGCCTGTCCACCTTCGTCCCATATTGCATCACTTAGCTCATTAGTCTGGGAGCTGACCTTGTCCGTGAAGACAGAGGCAAAGAAAGCATTAAGTATTTGAGCTGTCCCCACATCATCTGTCAATAGGTTACTGCCCTCATCCAGTAGGGGCCTCACACCCTCTCTGATCACCTTCTTCTTGCTAATATGCTTGTAGAAACCTTTCTTGTTATCCTTCACATCCCTTGCGAGTCACAATTCCAATTGTGCTTTCACCTTCCTGATAACTCCCCTGCATTCTAGAGCTATACATTTATACCCCTCCCTAGTCATCTGTCCAAGTTTCCACTTTTTGTAAGCTCCCTTTTTGTGCTTAAGTTCACTAAGGACTTCCCTGGTAAGCCAATCCGGTCTCCTACCATATTTGCTTCTCTTGCTACTCGTTGGAATGGTTTCTTTGGGTACGTCTAGACTACCGGGTTTTGTCGACAGAAGTTTTGTCGACAAAGAGCGTCCAGACACATTGAGTTCTGTCGACAAAGCAAGCTGCTTTGTCGACAGAACCCTGTAGTCTAGACGCAACCCTACAGGCAATAACACCTTCTGTCGACAGAACTCTGTCGACAGAAGGTGTTATGCCTCGTAAAATGAGGTATACCAGCGTCGACAAAACTGCTGAGTTCTGTCGACGTTATGTCGACAGAACTCAGCGTTAGTGTAGACACTGGTATAGTTTTGTCGACAAAAGTCCACTTTTGTCAACAAAACTCAGTAGTCTAGACACACCCTTTGTGTGACTTCAATAAGGCTTTTTTAAAATACTGCCAGCTCTCCTGGGCTCTTTCCCCCTTCATGTTAGCATCCCAGGGGATTCTGCCCATCAGATCTCTGAAGGAGTCGAAGTCTGCTTTTCTGAAGTCCAAGGTGTGTATTTTACTACTCTCTTTTCTTCCTTTGGTCAGGATTCTGAAATCTACCATCTTGTGATCACTGCTTCCCACCTACCTCTACTTCCCCTATTAGTTCCTCCCTGTTTGTGAGCAGCAGGTCAAGCTGCGCACGGGCCCTGGTCGGTTCCTTCAGCACTTATACCAAGAAGTTATCCCCAACATTCTCCAAGAACTTCCTGGATTGTCTGTGTATTGCTATATTGGTCTCCCAACAGATGTCAGGGTGATTTAAGTCCCTCATGAGAACCAAGGCCTGCAATCTGGAAACTTCTCTCAGTTGTCCAAAGAATGCCTCATCTACCTCATCCACCTGAATCGGCGGCCTGTAGCAGACACCAACCACAACATCACTGCTGTTGCTTATACCTCTAAACTCGACCCACAGACTCTCAACAGGCTTTTCTCCCTCTATATACTGCAGTTCTGAGCAATCATAGGGCTCTCTTACATACAGTGCAACTCCTCCTCCTTTTCTCCCCTGCCTGTTCTTCCTGAACAGTTTATACCCTTCCATGACAGCACTCCAGTCATGCGAGTCATCCCACCAAGTCTCTGTTATCCCAATCAAATTGTAGTTCTTGGACTGGTTCAGGGCCTCCAATTCTTCCTGTTTGTTACCCAGGCTTCTCGCACTGGTGTACAAAAACCTTAGATAACCAGTTGATCGCCCTACCCTCTCCATTTGAATCAGGGGTCCTCCTTTGTTGCATGTTCCTCTTTGCATTTCTTCCCGGTATCCGACTTCCCCATTCCTCTCAGGGTTTTGGTCACTGTCCCCCAACGAACCTAGTTTAAAGCCCTCCTCACTAGGTTTGCAAGCCTGCCCGTGAAGATGCTCCTTCCTCTCTTTGTTAGGTGGATCCCATTTCTTCCTAACAATCCTTGTGCCTGGAATAGAGTCCCATGGTCGAAGAAACCAAAGCCCTCTCTCTGACACCACCTGCACAACCACGCATTTACTTCCTAAATTTGATGATCCCTACCCAGTCCTTTCCCTCCAACAGGGAGGATGGACGAGAACACCACTTGTGCTCCGAATTCTTTGATCCTCTTCCCAACTCTACGTAATCTGCAGTAACCCACCCACTCAAGGTCATTCTTGGCCGTATCGTTAGTTCCCACATGGAGAAGTAGGAAGGGGTAGCGAAGGAGAGTTAGTTCCCACATGGAGAAGCAGGAAGGTTTGATCAGTTTTGTAAGACTCTCAGTCACATCCTGAATTCGAGTTCCTGGTAACCAGCACACCTCTCGAGATTCCAGGTCCGGATGGCAGATGGATGGCTCAGTCCCTCCTAGAAGGGAGTCCCCGACCACCACCACCCGCCTTCTTCTTTTGGAGGTGGTGGTCATGGAAACCCCATTCCTAGGATGATGCATCCCATGCCTTCCATTAGAAGTGGTTCCCTTCCTATTTTTTCCTTGTGAGGTCCCTTCCAAAGCATTCACCATCGCAGAGCCTGTGGAGAGAGCCTGAAAGCGATTACTTACCTCTGTAGGAATGGGGGAATTCCTGTGCTGGCCTGTTTTTCCTTCTAGAAGTTACATGGTTCCAGTTCTCTTCCTCGTCCTGTACTGCCCTCTCTGGCTCTTCCTGCCTTGCTTGCAGGATTAAACGCTGCCTTCCATCGAGGTAGTCTTCATCCTCTCTGATCGAGTGTAGGGTCAACACTTGTGCCTCCAGTCCTCTAATTTTTGGATGATTTCAAATGCAATTTTGAATGATTTCAAATGCAATATAACATAATTAAGCTTATATGTAATCGCTCTATACTTGACAGTGTTTGCAAAGAAGCTTATTTGAGTCTTAAGTGCATAACTTTAAATCATGCTGACGATGACAAATGAGAGAAGGAACCTCTTATGAAAGCTGTTGATGCAAAGGACAAAAGCCCTGTAATTTTCCCCAAGTTAATTCCCCAATTCCAGTGGCTTTGTCATGCCAGGTCTGTTTAGAGAAAGCTTTCCTATGCTGGGCACGTAATTTTTTAAAGTACTGCTCAAAATCTATGACAAGTTGATTCACTACCTCTCACCATCTGTCTCTCCCCCGAATCAACTGTAACCTTTATTAATTTTTGCTTTTTAACAGAGTTCCCAAAGAGATGGCATAATTTCTATTAAGGTGTCAACCCTCAAGATAAACTGCATTTTGGAAGCATTTTCAAACACCATCACATTCCAGGTAGTATATTAAAAGAGATGATATGTTGCCCAAGACATTCAGCCTTGTCAAGTCAGGGCAAAACAACATTTTAAGCTGACTAGCTCATATATCTCCTGGTATATATGCCCCTGCACAAATTCACTTTCCCCCCTGGTATTTAAGAAAATTGATACTTCCTGTTTTTGATTGATCTGAAATACAGTCAGATTGAACCCTGAATATATTTTCAGTTTGGAGAAGGAAAAAAGAGCATGCTAGTGATAATAGTAAGTTACTTGCATAAATAGGGATCTAGAATGACTGAAAACTATATTTGTTGTCTTGGCTTTCACAAAACTTCTAATTGCTTAATGACTTTTGTGAGGTGATAAAAAGTGTTTATACTCCATAGTTGGGTAGGCCAAATACTCTCTTCTGCTATCATAGCTTTGCAATGCTCCAATGCTGCAAAGCTGCCTTAAAGCTGGCTTTGTGGTCAGATGTAGGGGAATCCTCTGATGGTGTACAGTTACTGTAATCATGGCTACTATTCCAGCTGCACTCTTTGAGGGGCATAGGGGCCATAGCTAGAGCTTCCATTTTTCCTGGCAAGTTATGCTGTGGTAATGGCACATTAGGGGACAGTTAGTCTGCTTTAATTTGCATTGGAGATTGGTCTGACACATAGTGGTCCCTGACAGGGAAAGATGTGTTTTAAAGCCACCTTTGTACTTCCATCCCGCATTTGGCTGAGCATTCCTCAGCTGAAGATTAGGACTAGGGTTGTAGAGAATACAGATGTATAAATTAGAATTTTTTAGTGAATTCTGTTTGCACCGCTTGTGTTTGAATAGAAGAGTCGAGCCATTTCTAATATTATTCTGTAGTCTGTAAATTTTAAAAAGGTAGTGTGGGTGTACATTTTATTTAGATATATGCAAAAAGAAGAGTCAGGAAAAAGTCTGCGAACATAACACTCTTGAACAAATATATTCTGACATCCCACAAGGAGCTTTACCTGGGTGAATTGAATATGTTCCTTATCCATCAGAATCCATTACACTTCTGTATATGCCTGTCTGCTTGTCTCAGCAGCAAATGGAAAAGATACTGAAGATTAACTTTTGCACTACATTAGACATGTAATTATAGCTTTTGAAGTAACAAACCCTATAGCTCAGGGTACCTACAATTTTCCATTACAGCCTCCTGTTTTCATTTGCTTATAACTTTACGGAAAATTCTTTCTTGGCATTAAAACTTGCCACTCTTACTGTTAGTCTAGAAGTGAATTTTTCTGCTAAATGTGAGGAAAATCACTTCAGTAATTTTTTGTGCAATGGATGAATGGCATAAATAAACTTTAGCTTTATATGCAGTTGTGTTCTGAAAAGTGACTCCATAAAAATGGCATCCTGATATTCTAGGTTTATAGGCTCATAATGGCTCCTTATCAGATCTGCACAGCTTACAAAATATTTTTTTTCCAATTGTTAGCCTTGAAAACGCAAATGGGTATGCAAAACTTGCATCTTCCCTTTTTCTGCATTACCATCAATAACCCTCTGCTTTATCTTATTACAATTTAATTGGTTTTGTTCCTGTTCCATCACACCCCCCTTCTTCTCCTTGGGTGTAATTACACCATCTGATTATGGCCTCTTTTTTCTCTTTGATTGCCTCCTTGCTCACTTTGCTTTGGGAACAGGATCAGGTCAGGTAATTCTAAGATAATACCCCAATTCAGGAAAACATTTTGAATCAGGACAGCACTTAAGCATCAGCATACTGTTAAAGAGATGAATTAGGCTCTTGGCCTCTTTGGGCATGTCTCCCCTGGGGAGTTATTTCTAAATAAGTTATTTCAGAATAATAACTCCCAAAATAACTATTTCAAAATAAGCTTCTTTTTCTTCACAAGCAGGAGTTATTATTTCTAAATAACAAGCCCATTACTTTGAAATTGTGGGCTTGGGAGTGGGGATGCTCACCTTGTTATTTCGAAATACTCCCCAGAGTAGGCATGCCCTTAGAGTAGTGGAGAAAGCTCTAGTGCAGCATTCATTGCTTGCAGTTTCCATTTGCAGACAGGTAACATATTTTTTAGTATCTGTGTACAGTAGTTTTTAATTTTCCTGAAAGGCAATGGATATCATGGGAATACGTGAAAAAGTAGGGTTGTGTTATATTCATTTATTCAGTTTTTCTGTGGATACATTTTATCGTCTCTGCAAATGTACTGAAGGCTCAATCAAAATTAAATAAGTAGAGAGAGAAAGGGACAGAGAAACAATGAGGATGTGAAATAGATAACAGAGGGGAGAAAGAGACAGGAGGAGGTTAATGGAGAAAGGCAAGAAAATGGGAGAGCAGACAGAAAATATGAGAGAGGAGAGGGAGGCAGAGAGATAGAGAAAATTTGTCTTGACAGAAGCAGCCCATTTTATCAGGCAGTGACAGGAAGCACTACATACCTTCAAAACCGATTAGGAAGACAGCAGCCGGCAGGAGCAGAAGCGGAGGCCTCAATCAACTGAGCTCAACCTAAGAAAACAAAAGAAGTCAGCTGACAATGGAGCTATAGGAGACCAAATGAACAATTGGAACCAAAAGGGAAAAGAAAATAAGATTTAGGCAGCCAGAAAAATAAGAGGACTGCAATTCAGTACTAAAGCCTGAATGTGGAAAAGGGCAAACACTCCAACTCAGATTCCTAGTTCCATCCCTTCTCACAAAATGCTTTTGCTCTGCTGCAATTCCCAATACATTCACTGGATTTATTGCCAAGGGATGATCCTATGGTTTGTATGCATCCAAAATACTATCAACAGGAGTTTGCAGTCTTGACTTACTCTAAGCTTTCCTTAATATCCTTGGGAGTCTTGCATGCATTAGGACTGAAGAATCAGGCAAGTGAGGTTATAAAAGTACCACCTGAAACACACACAAATAATTTTCAAAGGCAGTAGTTCAAAGTTGAGTACATTTAACTTTACATAGTATTGACATGCATTATTCCATGACACTGGAATTGCTGCCTAGCACTTATTATTCCTACTGCCTTAATGATTTAATATCAAACACATTTCAAAGATATCCTTTACAATGGTTAGTGTAGTTTTTAAAACTGACAAGCCTCCAAGGCTGAACAGTAAGTATTTAATTTCAGGCCTAATGAAAGATCTATGCTTTCATTTGTTTAGATACTGACTGGTTCTTCAAAGCCAGTGGTTCTCAAAATGTGGTCCGTGGCTGCCTCCCAAGCGGTCTGCGACTTAAGCTCCCCCGGCAGCGGGGAGCCTGTGCTGCCGCTGCAGCCTCATGGTCACTGTGCACCCACAAGGCTGCATCACCAGCTCCAGCTTCCTGCTCGGAGGGCACGGAGGAGGTATGTGAAGAAAGCCTCAACCTTCTTTCTGCTCGAGAAGAAAATGGAGCAGCAGTGCATGAGGGAGAAGGAAGCCAAAGTCCTGGAGGCCCAGCGGCTGGGTGAGACGGCCATGCGGTGCTGGTGCCAGGAGCTTTCTGGCTCTGTGCCATCCAGCTGCAGGTGAAGTGGCAGGAGGCTGAACTGCTGTGCAGGCACCGGGCACGGCTGGCAAAGAGATGGGCCGAGGCCACCAAGCCCCAGTGGCTAGGCCAGCTCAGGTACGAAGAGCCCGATATGCAGGTGCAGTTGAGCATGGAGATGGCCGAGTCCCTGTGGACATTGAAGCCCAAGGGCAGCATCCTGCACGACTGGTTCAGGAGCCTGCAGAAGAGGAACCTGATTGAGCCCAGGGAGCGAGCCAAGTTCAAGAGGAAATATTGACTGAAGTACGTGAAGAAGAGAGCCTTCTGCAAAGTCACATTGTAGGGCTGCCTGCCTCCAGCTCCTTGCCCCTCCCACCTCTGGCTGTTTGTACTAAGCATCTTATTAATGCCCTGGGCATCTCCTCTAAAAAATACCCAATAACCAAACAAACAACCAATCTAACCAAAACCCACTTTCCCTGCCAGATCTGGCTCACTGAGCATGGAGCCACTTGCTCTGTTTCTCTCTGCGAGATGGGTCTGGCGAGGAAGGTTGGGGTTTCTTCACCCAGTCCTCTGAGCAGGGAAGCTCCAGCCACCATAGGCTCCCCTCTGTGTGAGGAGAAGGGTGGGGCTTAGCTACCCTTACCCTGCTGAGGGAACTGCAGTGTGGTGATGTACTGTATGGAGGCTTTCCGCAATGCTCCTATTGGTTGGCCAATGGGAGCAATGGGGGAGTAAAGCCAGGTAAGCATCCCCCCTCATGCCCAGACCCCTGCACCTCAATCTCCCTCCCTCACTCCCCTCCCAAGTTCCTACACCCTCAGCTAGCTCCTACACCTTCACTTGTTCCAGCACCCTCCCCCTTGGGCAGATACCTTACCCCAAGCCTCCTCCTGAACTGTCCCTTGCTCCTGCACTTCACCTCTGGCCAGACACCTACTCCCACCCTGCTCCTGCCTCCATCGTTGCTCCTGCACTCTTCCTCCTGACCACACACTGCACCCTCCCTTGCTCTTGCTCCCGCTCCCAGCCTGCTTCTGCACCCTGCCTCCCGCCCACACCTTGCATCCTGCATTCCACCTCCCACCCAGATCCTGTACCCCATCTCTAGCCCACTCACTGGCAGCCTTGCAAACCTAACCAAACCAAACCAAAAACTTTTAAAAGTTAAGTCCAACAAATGCCTACTGCTATGCAGGCATCTGAAGCTCCAGAATGCATCATTCTATAATGTCACAGCTATGCTTTTCAGGGTTGGGAATGTGTTTTTGTCTGGGTTGCGCCTTGCATCATGGACTTGCTCAGTGGAATAGGCTACTGTCAGCACGTTACTTTTATGCTCTGATACTTTCATTTGGTTCCCAGTCTTATATTGCTACCAATTTGAGAACTTGGTCCTGGATTTCCAAGCTATTGATGTGTTTGAACCTAACTACCTCAGTGAATCCATTTCCATAGACAGTGCTTGGTCCTGCTGTGAGGGCAGGGGACTGGACTCGATGACCTTTTGTGGTCCCTTCCAGTTCTAGGATTCTGATTCTGTGATCTGTGACACACAAACACTTTTGTCAAAGCCCAGGATACATCACCTACGAGTATAAAATAAGATGTGCATGGTCAAAAGACTTCAGTCGTGAAATGAGCTACTGAATGAAAGAGATGAGGCTCATTCAAAGTCTGATCATCTTCAAGACACATTGGAAGACTTTCCATTTAATGCCACCATAAACAGAATAGCAAGAATACACAAATTATACCCCAGAGCAAGGCCTCTAATAACCCTAGATAGGAGAAGAACAAAAGACACCATGATGCCTTTACAATATCAACCCAGTTTACCTGGGAAGCCCACAGATACAATGATGAAAAGTTCTACAGATAATCTGCTGATAGCCAAGGTTACAAAAATAAGATGTCATGGTTATTTTGGATGGTTCTGCACACATAATGGTTTCATAATTTGTTTAAAAATCTGTTTTATTGAAAAGAGTGAAAGGTTTGGTTTTAAAGACTCCACGACAGCACAAAAGTAAAGAGCACCACATACTGAGAAATAGTTGCCTAATAGGGATGTGAATGGGTAGCTGGTTATCCTTACTAGGGGATCCTACTGGATAATGGTTAACGGCATCCAGGAGCAGCCCCACAACTGCCGTGAGTGGAGGGCTGCTCCAGCTCCACTGAGCCCACTGCATTGCATGCTGGGGTGGCAGCTGGCAGCTTGTGGGGTGGAGACTACTCCAGTGGGGCTGGAGTGGTCCTCCACTCAGGATCCCGCTTAATAGGTTCACTGCTTAAACCTATGTATTGTTTAACTGTTTAACTGATTAAATGGGATTTTATATCCCTAGTGCATATAAGATTATACAGTCATATTATACATTTTGGCGTTTGTCTTGCATCTGGTAGAATGTTTTGAGTTGCTAACTTCCTGACTGAAGCAGCAGAACACCCTTGCACTGCCCCTGTGCTGAAGTCCCATGCCCCGCACACTCAGTTCTCTCCTTCCTCCATTGCTTGCTCTCCCCAACCCTCACTCTTTGTCACTGGGCTGGGGCTGGGAAGTTGAGGAGGCAGTGAGGCTCCAACTGGAGGTATGGGTTCTCAGATGGGGTTGGGGACAAGGAGTTTTAAGTCTAGGGAGGGAGGCTCCGGGCTGGAGCCAGGGTATAGGGAGATGAGGGCTTCAGCTAGGGCTCAGGCTCCAGGCTGAGGTTAAAGGTTTGAGGTGCAGGAGAGGGCTCTGCATTGGGATAGGGGGTTGGCATGCAAGCTCCAGGAGAGAGTTTGAGTGCAGGAGGGGGTTCTGAGTTAGGCTGTAGGAAGCAATTTGGGGTGTGGGATCTGGGTGGCACTGACCTCTCGAAGCTCCTAGGAAGTGGCAACATATCCCTGTGGCTCCTAGGCACAGGGGTTACCATGGGGGCTCTGTACACTATCCTCATGTGCAGGAACCACCCCAGTAGCTCCCATTAGCCATGGTTCCTGGCCCAAGAGAGCTGTGGAGCTGGTGCTTGGGATAGCACCTACAAGGCAGGGGAAGTGCATGGAGGTCTCCTAGCAGTTCCTCCGCCTAGGAGCCAGAGAAATATGCCAGCCACTTCTGGGAGCTGGCTGCTGTAGCCAATTGGACTTTGCTGTGCACAGCTGCCAGGGGTTCCTTTTCAAACAGGTGTTCTGATAGAAAACTGGATTCTTGGCATCCCTAAATACGTTACTTTATTATAGAGAGACTTCAGCCAGATGTATTGGTTTTTTGAGTATAGCATGTTTTTAATTATTACAGCAGAGTTATATAAGAACTCAGACCCTTGCAGGACTGTGTCTAAGTAAGGAAATAAGATGAAGTTCTGATATATAGAGCTCTCAGTGCCCATGCTCAGTCAGGGTATGGAGAGAGCCCAAAACACTGTAAGATCTAGGACTGTGTCAGGAATGAGGGCTTGCAGCTGTGCCTAACCAGTCAGGGAAGCAATGTGTTCCACTGGGCCTCAGCAGAACCACTTGATCGGCTAAGGCAGTGATTCCCTACATTTTTACTTCTCACCTCCCCACCCCCATAGCTTTTCTGCACTCCTTTCCCTCTGGAAGTTGTGGTCAGGAGCTGGGCAATTGTTGGGGCTGAGAGCAAGGCTGTGGTTGGAGCCAAAGCCTGGGGCTGGAGTTGCATTGGGGCTGGGAACCAGGGTCCAAGGCCAGAAGTGAAGCTGCATTTGGGGTGGAGTCATGACTCAGGGCCAAGGCTTGGGGTGGGGGTGGGGCTGGGGTTGGGACCATGGCTGAGTGTAGAACAGTGGCTGGGCTGGGAGAGCCAAGGGCTGTGGCTATAGATGGGGATGGAACACATCTGGAGTCAGAGCAGGGTTGGGTGGCCATGCTCCCCAAAAGTTCCTCTGTTCCCCCCAGGGAAGGCTTGCTCCAAAGTTTGGGGACCGCTGGACTGTAGACTCTCTGCCTCCCTGTCTTTGCCTCCTACCAAGCTCTGCACCCAGCCTTGCTCTTGCCTTGCAACTGCTCCCCCATACTCTGACTCCAGATAATTTGGTTCTTTGACCCTCAGCACTAATTCCTGGGTCTGACTTTGTCTCGACTCTTGGTTATTGCATTAAGACTCTGACTCTGACCTTTGGCTCCGATTCCTCACTTCTGACTGTGCCTTGACTTTGGGTCCTCAGACTTGGGCTCTAACCAGTAGCCCTGCCTCCTTTTCTGACCATAAGGCCTTCCTATGACCCGACAGACTAATCTTTAAAAGCTAGGATCATAGGCCAGATAATCCGTTGATGTAAACCAGTACAGTTCCATTGTCTTCAGTAGAGACATCAGTTGAAGAGCTGACCCTTGTCTCTTTTTTGCCTCTGTAGTACCACATATGTGTTTTTGATGCTGTATAAATAAGACTGATTGTTGGTCTGACTATCTAAGCACTGCAATAAAAAAGGAATGCTGGTGGAAACATTACCTGTGAATGGTAAGGTAATTGCTAACACAAGCATATCATCGTCAGCAACTCTGAAAACTGCACTTTTAAAACAATTTCACAATTCCGGTTGTGACATTACAACAGAAACCAATGATCATGTAGGAACCAGAAAATGATGACATGTAGTTTGAATGTGTTGTAGGTAGAGGGCAGATGGCTTAGGTGAAGGAGAGAGCTTTCTTTGGAAGACATTTATCTTAAGGAACTAGCCATTTAGGGACAGAAAATATCCCCAACTTAAAGAAAACGTAATGTGTTTATATATTCAAACAGCTTCTAAAATCTTGAAAAAGACATTTAAGACTTTAAATTAGAAGGAGTCAGAACAGGCCATTGTAAACCTCTCAGGATTTGTGAGGTGCTGACATGCCAGTCAATCATAACCAGGGCAATCTACTCGCCTGTGGCTAAACCGCGCAGTTGACGAGAGGGGCCGCTGCCACTTGTCAAGCCCTGATCATAACTATGTCCTGAAATATTTGAAAGCATAAATCACAGCCATGTTGTGATTTCCCCCCATCTGAACAGGATGATAATAGAGAAGACACATAAACACTAAGATCTGATTCTCCACTAGCCTTTGAGTCATTTTATTGCTGTACAAAGTCAGCATAAAATGCTATTGGTCTCGAATCCTCACTTGCCAAACTCTAAAAAGCTGCGTGGCTGAGATGGGGGATCTACCATAGCTCTGCCAAAAGCAACCAAGGACAACCTGTTATTCTTTCTGTAAAATTAGGAGGCAGTTACTGAATCTTGTGATATTTGCTGGGTTTTTTTTTTCTTGAAATCCTAGCACCGAAAGAAAAGCGATGATGGGAAAATCTGTTTTCTCACCCCCTTTTCTTTTTAAAGTTCATTTCGAACCTTTCTGGCTGTGCAGAAAAGCTCCATGTCCTCTTTAGACTTCAAATAGCAGTAAAGTATTTCAAAGATATTCTTTTTTGTGGGTTTTTTTTAAAAAAAGGTCTGGTTCGGGGGCTTTCCGAAGACGGGGGCTTGTCCAACTCAAGTCACCACAACTAGGAGTCTGCGTGGTACAAAGTGATGCCTCTGCTGAGCTCCCCCCTTTCCCGCGCGTATCCTTGCCCCACTCACACTCGCCCCCTCCTGTCAGGGCTTGCCAGGCCACCCGGTGTCTGCATCACACTGCAGGCCCCTGCTTAACACCTACGCGGGCCCGGCCCCTTCCCAGAGACCGACACCCGCCTGAAGGCAACATCCCTGCCCCGCGCAGGGGCCGGCCTCGCCTTCGCACTGAGGGAGAGCGACCCGCTCCCTACCCCGAGCCGGGCAGCAGCGACCTCGCGCCCCTCCGCCTCGTCGCGAGCCCAAGATGGCAGCAGGCGGGAGCTCGCCCCGTGCGGCCGCGGGCCGTACCCCCCCCCTCCGCCTCGTTGTGAGCCCAAGATGGCGGCGACCGCGGGCTCGCCCTGTGGGGCGGTGCTCTGGCCGCAGGCCGGCTGGGCGGGGGGGTTTCCATAGCGGCGGCGAGTAGGTGTCACACACCGGGGCGCTTCCTGGTTGGAGGCCGCTGCGGCCGGCCGCGGCACTGCACTGGGAAGCGCGGCGGGGAGGGAGCCCCGGCAGGAGCAGGAGGCCGAGACAAGGTAGGGACGGGACGTCCGGCCTTCGCGCTCGCCCTGGGACCGGCCGCCGCCCAGCTCCGGCCTCGCGCCGGTGGGTCCTAGCCTAGGGAGGCGCGGCGGACTCTTCCCTTCTGGGTCGGATCCCTGCGCCCGTGGGGTGGGAGGGCGGAGCCCCCCATTGCGAGCGCCACAAGGGGAGAGCGCTGGGGCTTCCCTCGGAGGCGGGTCGGCCCCTGCCACTCAGCGAGTGGGTAGCACTCCCAGTTTCAGACCAGGGAAGGGGCGCAGGCCCCTCTCCTGAGCCTCTGTGTGGGTCTCCGCCCTGTTGGGGAGGGAGCTGGTTTTGTGTGTGTGTGTGCAGGTGAGCGCGGTGTGTCAGGGAATGGGGAGTTCGAGATAATTGGGGAGTGTCTGGGGAAGCATCACCTGGGGAAGTGGTGCCAGGGGGATGAAGGCGTTTGGTTGCTATTGCCATTGTGGCAATGAGGATACTCGGATAATCTGGGGGCTCTTTGGTGTTGGAGAGTGGGGAGAGTTTGGGGTAATTGAGGTCTGGCTAGTTGGCGTAGTAATGTGAACTTTCTGTCTCGAATAATTCTGGATACCATCAAAACTCTGGGTTACTTTCCTGAAGATGCCAGGCAGCCAAGCCTTGTATAGCAACTTGACTAAACAAGGTTCTGACAGAGTCCTGCTCATAATCTTCAGTCCTTGGTCTCAACTGTGTCAAATGATTTGGTTTTTATAGAAACCTGTCGGAAGGGTACTGGATTGAAACAAAATTTATTTCACTGTTTGCTGGGGCTGGATTCAAATGTGGAGAAAATGCTTTGCCTCCTCTTACCATCTCATGAACCATTCAGTTGCTCATGAAAACTCAAGAACAGCTTTCTTTGAGTAGTTGTGGTTTGGAACAAGTAGCAGCATAGCAACTCAACTTCTAGGGACTAGCTGGACTTCAGTTTTAATGGTTTAATGGAATGAGACTATATCCCTTCTTTACAATGTATAATAGAGGATTAGTGTTGTACAAGTATCTTTTAGGATAACTCTTGTACAATTACTTAGTGCATCACCAAACTTCTCTATTCTGTTAATTAATATGCAATAGCAGCTTTAGAAGAATCTCTAATTTTGTTTTGTACAGACACAGAATCCAGGAACCAATCAGCATTTCAGAGAGCTAGAAGCAATTTGCTGAACACTTTTTTACAGTGTAGGTACTCCAGCTGTGCCATATTTTTGTTAGTCACTGAGGTGCTTTAGGATTATTAGTCTGTAACTTTAAAAACAACTAACACAGCTATCCCTTGAGACTTTTCAAAGAGAGGGTGTGTTGTGCGCATTTGATTTGTGCTTCTACTTTATGCTTCCTTATTTGTGGTCGGTCAGTGATTCAGTCAGTGAGTTTAGATTATTAAACAGTAGTATACTGTGTTGTAACTGTTGGTCCCAAGATATTAGAGTAACAAGGTGTGAGAGAGGCAATATCTTTTATTGGAACAGGTCAGAAGAAGAACTCTGTGTAAACTCAAAAGCTTGTCTCTCCTACCAATAAAAGGTGACACTCAATAAAAAAGATTGCCTCACCCACCCTATCCCATTAAACTGTAGGACTTTTGTTAATATGAATTTTATGTTCTATTTCTCTTGACCATATGTAAGTGTACATCTTCACAGCAGGGCTGAAGTCAAATTAAGTTACACAACTTCAGCTACGTCAATTGCGTAGCTTAAGTCGAAACAGCTTAATTTGGCTTTTGGCGCTGTTTACACAGCAGGAAGTTGAAGGAAGAACATTCTAGCTTCGGATTCCCTTACTCTCCGTGAAATGAGGGTTACCGTGAGTAGGAGTAAGAAGTCCTCCAGCTCAATGTTATTTCGAAATAAAGGCTTGTAGTGTAGACGTGCACTGTTATTTCAGAATGTCAGTTATTCTGAAATAACACTGCTGTGTAGACGTACTCTAATGACAGATTCAAAATTAAGAACTTCTTTTAAGTTTCTCTTCAATGGTACCTTCCTGAGTTGACTGTGCTTGCCAGTTCTTAAACTTTAAAAAATATTTTATTTAATTCTACTGATTATAAATTGTTGCTTCAGATGCAAACTGTATGAAGTGTAAAATATTTTAGTTTACTGAAATTGCCTTTAAAATAGCAGTCTCTTTGCTCTTTCATTATGTGTCTTGTAAACTAATTATTTCAGATGTTGTATTTTGATCACTTGCTGCCTGTCAAAGTTTCAGATGTGCCCTTGTGAAAGCTCCGAATCTGTTGGCTTTTGTAGGGTAATAGCAGTTTAGGCTTCTGGTGTAATTTACTTTTCCCATAGTAATTTTTTTGTACTTAGCAGGCTCCATTTAGATCACTTTATCATGATTTTATGTATATAAACTCTGTGAGTACATGACACATAATTGGGAAATCCACAGAACAAAGATCCTGCAGACTCTCTGCTTCCTGATGAGTTGAAATGCACATTCTTTATTTAAAACTTCTGTGCATCTAAGTTAAAATGGTACTAAAATTGAGTATGCACAGAACAGCATTAGAGTGGAATTTCTAATTATAATTTTAAAGGAATCTCGTACTCTTGTGCTTTGTGAAATTCTTGTTTGGCATTGCATGGAAACAAACTGACTAGAATTAGAATGTCGTATCCTGTAATTTAGTTACAGCCCTGATTACGTTCATGATGGCTTAGGTAGAAATTACAGTTTACAAAAGGAATAATCAGTATAAATGCTGATACAGTTTTAGGTGGATATGATGTATTTGGATTTTTTAAAAAGTATACCTGAATTTAGTATTCTAAAGAGCTTCTTTCCCATACCAAGGTATCCAAATGTTCCTTTCAAAGCTAATTGCTACATGCTGGTAACTAAGTGACTGTATAGATAATTTGTCAGTATTTAAAAGCTCAGCAATAACTTGGATACCACCAAAGGATATAAGAACCTGCTTTATTCATAGAGGCAGTATTGGCTACTTTCATATATTGGGAGGTAGTTAAAACCCCAGGGGCTCGTCTACACTGGCCCCTTTTCCGAAAGGGGCATGTTAATTTCACAGGTCGTAATAGGGAAATCCGTGGGGGATTTAAGTATCCCCCGCGGAATTTAAATAAAAATGTCCGCCGCTTTTTTCCGGCTTTTAGAAAAGCCGGAAAAGAGCGTCTACACTGGCCCCGATCCTCCGGAAAAAAAGCCCTTTTCCGGAGGATCTTATTCAAAGTAGGAATAAGATCCTCCGGAAAAGGGCTTTTTTTCCGGAGGATCGGGGCCAGTGTAGACGCTCTTTTCCGGCTTTTCTAAAAGCCGGAAAAAAGCGGCGGACATTTTTATTTAAATGCCGCGGGGGATATTTAAATCCCCCGCGCATTTCCCTATTACGACTCGTGAAATTAACATGCCCCTTCCGGAAAAGGGGCCAATGTAGACGTAGCCAGTAGGTATTTACTTCCTACCTGGCTAGCTACTGGGAGGCATAAAGGATTGAATGTCTTACATGAAGACAGTGTTTTAAAGGGAAACATCTTCTCTACAAGAGAAACATTTGTCACTTGTTTCCTGTATGACTGAAGTCCAGGTGTGTTCTAACACTTAATGTTGTTAGTATGTGTAAAAACAGAAGTTTATAACATTGCAAAAAATCCCTACATACCTTTGTTTTTTAAAAAAGGTGCAAAGGGACAATAATGTAGGTACTTACTGCATCATTTGAAACCTCCCAACCCCAGATTTTACCAGACAATAATAAATACAATACCAAACAATAATAAATACTCTTATGCATTTTACAGTTCATATTTGGTCACAACACATTGACCTCCACTGTTCCCTCCCCCAATATTATTATTTCACTAATAATCTCAAAATACAAACACAACACACAACTTAAAAATAATATAAGAGCAGTATCCACATACACACTTTATCATGAATTGAAAATGTCACAGTTTTTGTAAACTTTATTCTTGAGGAACAGAAAGTATATTCCATCATAAAAATATTAATGGATATGGATAATTTAACAGTGTGTCTTTTAAATAAATATTTAGATATTGAAATCATTTAACACCATGCCCTCTTGCCCCAATGATTATTTCAGGTTACAATGTTGTGAAATACGCATTTTTTCATATTTAATAAGCAAACATTTTGTACTTGATTTTTGGACAGTGTAAAGTTTATGATGACCTTAAGTACTAATTTCCTTAGTTCTGAGTGGTTGGATTTTGTAAGTGATGTGGGGTATAACTATGTAGTTGTCACTTAACAACTCTGACTATTTTCCAAAGCTAAGGATTTATTTTCATTTGTAGAACTGTGTTTTCCTATTCCAATAAGCAATACAGTAATACAAATACCTCTACAGCAGAGCACTATGCTAGTATGTGTTTCCCCCCATTAGTATAGGTGAGACAATAGCCCACTGAAAATGCATTTAGATGGAGGTTGCTGATTCTCCAGCTGACTCTACACATGCAAAACTGGGGCCCAAATCTTTAGAGCTCCAGTCAATGCTTCTGGACCAGAGCTGAGTGTTATCAACTGAGCCATAATGTTACTAAACTAGCTACAGTAATAGAGATGTGGCCGTGTTAGTCTAGTCTAGCTGAAACAAAAAACAGGACTAACAAGATGGTTTATTAGGTGATGAGCTTTCGTGGGCCAGACCTGAGGAAATTTGATCTGAGAAAGTGGGTCTGGCCCACGAAAGCTCATCACCTAATAAACCATCTTGTTAGTCTTTAACATGCTACGCAGTCCTGTTTTTTGTTTAAACTAACTACAGTTATTATCTTAGAGTAAGTGATTAAATGTAGTGAACATTACATTTGCTAATTTTGACATCCGTAATCAAAAGAAAACTGAAAAGACTGCAGTTCTAATTATATGTTTTAACAAGGCATTTTATTTTTGTTTAAAATGTGTGTGCTTAGATGTTCAATTTAGCAATCATTCATCGCTAAATGAAGACCATTGACAGGACTTTAAATGTCAAATTTTGTCTTTTAGCAATTGCAGCATCTCACAGTGTTGTTCTTTGTTTTGTTTTTAAATATGATTCCATTTTCTTCTCCCTCCTTAGTCTTCCTTTCTCTCTTTC